TTTATTTCACATTTCTTGTTTGTAAAGGCTAAATACAAAAAAAAAGTGAACCTTTTTTTTTTGTACTGTTTTTATAAAAAAAAAAAAAAATTATATAATTTTAATAGGAGGAGCCTGGAGGTATTATAGACTTTGCAAATTCAGTTTGCAGACAACCATTGTGCGTGTCCTCGGGAGTTTTTTCCTGAGGCTTTTTAATATTGTCCATATCGATATCGGAATTATATCGTATCGACCAAAATTAAGAAATATATCGTGATATAAATTTTTGCCATATCGTCCAGGCCTAGTTAAATTTATGACATAAAAAGTAACTATGCATCAATGTTTGGTGCATTTTTTCCATTTCCTACAGAGACTGTGTTTACATCTTTTCCATTAAAAAATGACCAAAATATGTTATTTATCGAGGGGTGCCCAAACTTTTGCATACTACCGTACTTACTTACTGTGTTTTTAAATCTCTTATGATTAAGTGTTAAGTTTAATGTGCAGCTTGCATTAATGCACTCGTCTACAACAGATTGCCCTCATGCAATTACATTTTTCGGCAAAAGATAATAGATGCGTCTTCTTAATGGAATACCTTTTTCAGTTTTATTAAAGTTAATCCACCCTCCAAATATATGTTGATATGCCTGTGGTCACGATAGCCTAAAATAAGACAATTCACTACATGGGGCCGGGCTGCCGAGTTGAAGTCAACATCTGCATCTGTTTAGCTCCTTCTGGATGAGAGATGCGAGTCGCATCCCGATCTATGGCCACACTGTAAAGGACCGCACGATGTCACTCGCTCCTGTGATGTGATTCTCAGGACGAAAATCTAGTCTCGAAAAGCGGTTTTTAATAAGCCACTTGTCCTGTTGATGAAGCACCAGATTTCGCGTGGATTTTGTTAAACTGTAACTGCAAGTGAACTGTAAGAAGACTAATGCTCCGTTTTGTAGATTAAACTGGGTTAAAGCCCCACTAAACTAAACTAATGATAGGAGCAAATGCCCTACATTTTTAATCTCCGGGACATTTACACGTTTGAAAATGGCATTCTCTGATTCATGGTAGTTTAACAACACTGAATGGTCACTTTTTTAATGAATACTGTCCGGTGGCAGTACTTTTGGCATTACGTGTTACATATCGACTGCGAAATCACAAAAAGAAACATCAATAAAAATACAACTTGACAGTTAACCCATAACGGCATTTGCATGTCCTGGCGTTATAATGAGATAAAAAAAAAAAAACATCAGCAAGTCGAAACATTTAATATGCAATGATAATGCGTCACCGACACCGGACAAACACATACAAACTGGATACAATTTTAATCCTTACAATAAAATGTTATTAGAATTAAATACTTTACCCTGCTGATCATTTGAAATATGGCTAACTCGTTTGTCGTACAGTTCGAAACATATACACTAAAAAGAATATACTATTTCAATACCAGCTTGTTTAAAAAAGAAATTGCAAAGCGTGTCACCGTGCAACGAAAGTTAGTTTACAAACAAAATCCACGTCTGTACCCTTACCCTCCGGCTGCCCCAGGTCCTTTTTCCCTCTGGATAACAGCATTTTAGGAAGCAGCAAAGACAGAGAAAGAAATAAACAAGATACAAGTGTAACTTTATGAAAAGGTGACATCGCCATCGTTAAAATTAAATTCAAACACCCCGAAACGTTCTATTTATTGCGATGACAATAATCCCATTCCCAGTTTTTATCAGGAAGCGGACGTGACGAATGCGGCGTGTCACGTGATACCCGAGGGTCCAGCGACAGTACACTTGTGATGGATGGGTCCGTTTGTTTAACGAAAGCCTGTTATATGAACGTATTGCACCAACACATTGGATTACTCCATCTTATTGTACTAAAATAAAAATGTTTCTTATGAAATTCACTTATTTGTTTAGAAAGTCCGCGATCCACTATGTATTCCCCACATTGTATGACAACTTTTTGTCTTCCGCGTCGCGCATTGCTAAGCCTCCCAGGTAGCTGGGGAATATTACGAAGAATTATAGGCGGCCGCTATCAGGTGTGCCCAATTTTAAAGAAATATCCACGCAACTAATTCTCCTTTCTGTAATTATTTGACCCTGTTGTATCTTACCATGCCCAGCAGGTGGCAGGGCGGAATTTTACTGGCCTGTAGCGGATCATTCTGGGAAAGGGAAAATGTAAATACCATTTCCAGCCACCAAGCGGCACTACGCTTCTCTGTAATAGCACTTCAGGCAACCGATTTTATTTATCCCAGTTTAACAATGCCAAATGATAAAACTTCATTTAATGGACACTGAAATGACACTTGGCCCAGAGAAGTACGTTAAATTTAACAGAGGTTAATTCAGTTCTAAATTTTTATCTTCTAATGCTGACCAAGTGGGATGCTTGTTTAATTTTTACAATATAAAATTTTGGTAGTTATTGGTTCCACACAAATTTTATGTCGTGCACGACTCTCCTGTCTTCACAGAATGCTTTACTGAAAAGGTTAATAATGTATCCGCTCTGTTTTGCATTAGCTGTGTTTGAAAACATTTTAGATTTATGAATGTCATTAGGGACCTTTTGGACATTTTATTACAATTTGGAAGTGGTGCAGTTGACAGGTACAGTTATACTAAGGTGGATTAATTTTAGATAAAACAGAACTAATTGTGTAGTATGTAATTATTTTAGGTATATTCTTACCATATATGTGAGCAGAGGTCAACAGCATGGCAAATTTTGACGGACATTGTGATCAAAATCCAATTTTCACCTTTTTAGCTTTTTTTTTTTTAACATGAAAAACGTAGCCTACAATGTTTTTTTAACCATGAACGAAGAGTGTTTGTCTGTACAGTCTGTTGGCGATCCCTTTATGTAGGGATGCCAACATTGGCCAGCTGGCTGGCGTAAGATTTTCAATTCGAGGCAAGTCTGTACACACATGCGCACACATTTACATGTATGTATCAGTTTTATTGCACTGTAAATAGTCTTAAGGGCTTGCAAACATCCCCATCGCTTTTGATGTAGGCTATCTAATTTAAGATTTATTATTGGAATAGTATAAATTTGCTGTAAGATTTCTTACGTGAGAGCCTAAAACCATGAGTGTCACGCCAGATGCATGAGAGTTGGCAACCCTGCTGTGAGTAAAATGTGTACTTATTTTAAGTATACTAACCACTGACGTATGACCGATCAAGTATGAGTAGCATCCGATTGTGCTGCTGGAGCTCCCTTAGTACCTGGGGTGCAGGGTGACCGCATGTGCTGCTCAGCTGTCATTATCCAGTTGTAAGTGTGAGCGCAACTCGTCGCACGAGGACACAGAGAACTCAATGGTGCAGGAGCACGCGCCGATCCGAGCGCCGCCGTCTTGTCAATGCCATCATCGCAGAACTGGCCGAATTAAATACTTTTAGGGAGACCACAGGAAACCTTCAGACAGCAATGGCACAACACAAATGGTGTAATTGTATTAACAATATTAACATCTAATGAGAAATAGAATGCGTTGTTGTTCTTAAGGACTGAAATTGTGACCATAAAGGTTACATAGTTACAGCAAGGTCTAAGACTCATTATATAACAATATCTCATGTATGCTTGTATGCTTTATCCTCACACTGTACTTCAGCTCCCATGCCTGAAGAGTGTGATTATTTTTGTGTTACTGTGAAGTACTCAGGAGTACAGTGTTGTATGTGTGTTTCCCCTTTGGGGGTGTCCTTTTTGTTTACAGTCTCGTTAAACCCCCTTTCCCCCAGATAAACAGCTGAAATGTAGAATTATGGCTCAGGGCCCTGACCTTGATAACAGGGTGTGCATTGTGAGAAGACAATACAATCCAAACAGATGTAAACACTAGCTTCTCCAGCTCTGCCGATGGCCGCCAAATACTGCTGCCAGATGCCAGGCGAGTGTTTTGGTCTTTGTCAGATTGGGGCCTCTTCACCATGTGTTTCCAGGAATGGGCCCTCATCCTACCAAACTGTTTAACATTCCTGGTGTAGTGAGCCAGACCATATTCCAGCTTACTTTGTGTCCTTGTTCTTCCTAATTAATGGTTTCTTCTGAAAAGGCTTTTGTCGGTCATATGAAAACACACGAGCACAAAGTAACCCATCACGGCTAAATTTAAGGGTGCAAAGTAACGTGAAAGCGGTGCAAAGGCCACAGTCTGCAAGAGGAATGTTTGTATGTTTGGCAGCTGACCACATTCATGTAAACACGTGCAGACGAAACGAAATCCTGAACATGGGCCGATATGCCCGGGATGCAGGTCAGTAAAGGAGCGTGCCCATGGAGGAGCACACGGTGGGGCGTGTGGCATGTGGCGAGGCCTGTTAATCCAAAAAAAAACTTTTTGCCTCTGTACGGGGCCTCCCATCTGCATTCACTTTTCAGAATTATTTTTAATGAGGCCCATTTAATTAGCTAGGAAGGCAATGCCGTGCAGGTCAGGCTCAATGTGCCGTTTTTGTTAATATTATGAAAAAGTTTATATGGGGGGGAAACAATGAGCTTTGTTTAGTTCAGTGAAAGTATATCAGGAGCTCAGGGTCCTCGTTCTTGGCAGCAGTGGATCTGCAAACGGCAGGACGATCGATGTGCCTTAACTGTGCTAAACTGCCTTCAGAAGTAGCTGTTTTATTTTCCCTACATGTGTGTAGTTGATTTTTGTTGCCATGTCATTTCACACCATGGTAGCAAACCAAGAATACGTCGCCTGAATGCCTCTCTGTCTTTCAAAGCAAAGAGCTTTTTTATTGTGTTGCAGTATCAAATTGGTGCACCGATAGATCTCATTTTTGGTTGATATCGATGACTGGGTAACTGGCAATGGGAACCTTGAAGGACGAACAGTACCGACTGCCAAGTCTGTGCAGTTGTAGCACAAATATGTCTGTGAAATATGAATGTGATAGAATTGTCTGGAAAGCTCTGTGATGTGTACCTTCTGTGAACACGATGTGTGGCTCAGAGGGATAGGCCTCTACTCCCGTGTTAGGAAGGTTCCCGGCTCTAAATCTGTGCTCATCAAAATAGCCAGATCTCTGTTCTGTCCTAGAGCGATGTCGTTAACCCCCCCCACCCTAATTGTTCTAGGGGCACCAGCTTGGACCCCAAGCTTCTGTCTATATATACAGAGTGCCAGCTCAAAGCATGCCCCAAAGCAAACCAAGAGCGCCATCTAGTGAGATCAGAAAATATAACAAATGGTTCATGAAGCTTCATTTGGCCATCACTACTGTACCCGTACTCCTGCAAATGGCAAATAACGAATCATTTTATGCAGTGACTCAGGTGGTTTCTGTTTACAATGACCAGAGAATATATGGTGTTGGGTGGGTGCACCCTGCCTATTGACTGGCATTAAAATGACAGTAAAGGGGACCTTTTGGGGCTCCTTAGTGCCAGGGCTGTCACATTTCTTCCTGGCATTTCCTGTGATGCTATACAGTGGCCATCAGAAATTGCCCTGTCCTGCCAGCCCTGTCACAGTGTGGCACCGTGTCTCTCTCCTGTGAGGCCCCACCATGTGGAACCAGTATGGGACCATGTTTAAAAAAAAGTGTTAGAACCTGCCCAAAGATTGGATCATTTTAAGGGGAAAAAACATTTGCACATTCACTCATCTTTAGGAGTTGATATGATTTTTTTTTGCTTCAGAGTGTCCTTGGATGGTTCTGCTTGGCGGTACTAAGCCCTCGCTGAGAAAGGCCAAGAATCCGTGTTAATTTCACAGCGAGATGGCTGCAGCTCCCTGACATCACTTTAAAGGTAGCCTATTGAGGGGAGCCATTTCCTTGAACGTGTGGACAATTGATTTGCTCCGTTTGACACGTCGAGTTATTCGGCTGTGAACGCTGTTTCTGGCCTGTTGTGTATGTGGCGCCCCCCTGCCTTTGTTGGTAAGTGGCCCCGCCGAGAGATTCCTCAAGTGCATCGCCAAGACGTGCCTCTGATCCCTATCAGTCAGTATATGGCATCCTGTCATTTATTCAGTGTCCCTGGCTGCCTGTAGGAGGCGCAGTTGAGCAGCAGGCTAAAAGGTGTGTAACTGGGTGTCATGTGGAAGGATGGGGCCGCCTGGTTCTCCTGGGGTGCATTCTTACTGATCACCCAAAATAATGAGTTATAGGAAGCAAAAGCACTCCAGGGGTCTAAACTGTACCCTGCCGCCCTCCCCCCAACCTAAGAGAACACAGGGTCTCGACTGAGTCCTTAACATGTTAGGAAAGGTCGGTGGCATTACCAAGCTCTTTGGGTGGGCATTTGGGCACTTGGAGGGGCATCAGTGTTTGAATTGTGTCTTGGTAGGGTCCCCTGGTAGGTCAAAGTTGTTGGCTTGGAGGGGAGTTTCCGAAGTTTACAAGTGAAGGGTGGCATTGAATCATATTTTTAATTTGGTCTACTTGGTCTGTCTCTGGTGGCTGGGCAGACAATCCTTTTGAGTGGACTCTGGCCACGCCCTCCCCACCCCCCAGGGAAAGATGTTCTGGCAGTCACAGGGCACCATTTCAGCCTCTGCTGATGCTCAGAGTCTCTCTGCCAGGTCTGTACATCGCGTTTAACTGGCACATCACCGGGAGATGGGCTGTACTTCAATTAATGGTACCACAGGCATCTATACTTTATGTACGACCTTTGTGTTGTGATGGCTACAGCCACACAGTAAGACTTGAAACATATATTTACATCCTTAGTTGATTTGTTTTGTATGTTTTTGTTTTATTTGC